ATGGCCTCAATCCCACCTGCTACTTCTTCTGCTGTATTTTCATGGTTGTTTGTTCCTACCCAGACAACAATGACCTGTAATTGAAGAAGGAAAAAAAGGGAAAGGAAGGAATAAAGGAATGTCCAACATTTAGATGAAAATCTTATTCAATAACCAAAGAAGAAAAGAACAACTTCTCAAATGGTGTTGGCTTCACCAACTTCAACGGGACAGCTATCACAATACTGATTATTGGACTAATACTTAAGTAGCAAAACTGTACTAGGAGGAAATGAGACAGAATCCTATCATAAAAGCTGGAAGCTAATTTCTCATAAAGTAGAAGCTATACCAGAAAGATGAATAAATTCAAGTATATAAAAATATATTAAAGTGAAATCTAATAAAATATATTAAAGTGAAACCTAGGGGAAGATATGTGCAACTCATAAAGATATCTATATAGTACCTTCTATAAAAATAATAATAAACGTACCCAAGGAGTACAATATAAATACACAGTTGCGCCGAAGGAAAAGAGGAGAGAGAGAGGTTCAGGCGGAGGTGCATGAAGTTTTAACAAATTTTTCTTTAAAAAAATTCACTTTATAAGGTGGTTATCACTCAGAGACATACATCTCATTATGTGACTCAAGAAAATAACTTTCCACTCATTTCCAAAAGAAAGGCAGGTGGGTAAAGTTTTTGGAAAGGCAAAGAATAAAATGCTTTCAATGAAATCAACTTTTACTAGTGGCTAAGCCTTGTTTCTTTTTTCTTTCAGGATTTGAAAAAAATTATACGCAGTGTGCCAACTCAGGACATTTATAATGTGATAAGGTACTGAATAGAAATCTTCATTTGGGGTGGCTCCTGTGGCTTCAATGAGTAGGGCACCAGCCCCATATACCGAGGGTGGCAGGTTCAAACCCAGCCCTGGCCAAACTACAACAAAAAATAGCTGGGCATTGGGTCGGGCGCCTGTGGTCCCAGCTACTGGGGAGGCTGAGGCAAGAGAATAACTTAAGCCCAAGAGCTAGAGGGTGCTGTGAGCTATGACACCACAGCACTGTATCAAGGGTGACAAAGTGAGGCTCTGCCCCTAAAAAAAAAAGAAAGAAATCCTCATTTGTTCACATCTGCTTCAAATTTTCTTCAGAACTTGGAGGCCTTAATTACCAACTTGTTTATATACAGATAACAGATCCATCAAGTATATCATGGTCCTCCTCCCATGGCCCCCTTCTGTGTAGTTTCCCCCTCATACTGCCCTAGGTCCATGCGCCCCATACAATAGCATACCTCATTAGCATCAAATCTCTTCCTACAACTCAATCAGATAAGTGTAACAGTTACAAATATAATCCAGGCAAATAATACACTGGTTTCTTGAATAAACAGTTGACCATCTCTCTACAATGACCACCTAGTTAAGGTGACCTAATTTTCATAGAGTAGATATGTAGCACATGTAGTTTATCAGTACAGTAGGCTGAGTTCTTTATGTTGACCACCTCCACATGTCGACCAATTTGTTACAGTCCCTTGGGTGGTCAACTTATAGAGGTTCTACTGTACTTTAGTACACACTTAAGCAATAACATCACTTACCATAAAGAGGCATGAAGCAAAGAGCAACAATGAAATAGGGCTTTAATGAAGCAATGTTTTTTCACTAAACAAGACTCAATATTAATGACCTTCTTTTAAATGTTAAGTTCCATTTCACCTTAGGTTTAATGTTCTCCAGTTCTCCATTCTTTAGTCTCCATAAAACATGTCTTGTTGTATCTCCCCCAATACCAAAATTCAGTGCATGAAGTGGGGAAAAAAGCTCTCGCCATATCTAAAAAGAGAAAAACTTGATTTAGTCAAGCTAAAACCAGTGGTGGAAAAAAAAAATCTTTCAATTACAACGTATATGTAATAATTTCCATTTTCTCTATTCAAACATAACATTGCAAATGGCATATTACTCACTCTTTAAAAAGCTTTGATGCCATTGTATAACTCAGTTTTTTTTTGATACAGAGCCTCAGTTTGTCAGCCTTGGTAGAGTGCCATGGTGTCACAGCTCACAGCAACCTCAAACTCTTGGGCTGAAACAATCCTCTTGCCTTAGTTTTCCTATTTTTAGTAGCGACAGGGTCTCACTATGCTCAGGCTGGTCTTGATCCTGAGCATAAGCAGGCGATCCACCCAAGTAGGCCTCCCAGTGTTAGGATTATAGGTGTGAGCTACTGCACCTATCTATAACTCAGTTCTTAATGCAGTGTTAGGTCTGAGCTCAAGAACTGAGTCACAACTTAGTGATGCCCCATTAAGAGGTACCAACATTTATAGTTAAGGTGACAACCCAATAAATTCTCATTTCCATTTATTAAACTATTTAAGAAGTAGCATGAAGTAAAAACAAGAAATGAAGAAATTTAGAATGCTAGAGCTATTGCTCTCTTTTTTTTGGAGACAGTCTCACTATGTTGCCCTCGGTAGTGTCGTGGTATTAGCTCACAGCAACGTCAAACTCTTGGGCTTAAGCAATTCTCTTGTCTCAGCCTCCCAGTTCCAGCTGGGACTACAGGTACCCACCACAACGCACAGCTATTTTTTTGTTATTGTTGTTGCTATTTAGCAGGCCCTGGCTGGGTTCGAACCCACCAGCACCAATGGATGTGGCCAGCACCCTAACCACTGAGTTACAGGCGCCAAGCCAAAGCTACCTCTTTTTAAACATTTCCTTTACCAGCTGGGCATGGTGGCTAACACCTGTAATCCTAGCACTCTGGGAGGCCAAGGTGGGTGGATGAGCTCACAAGTTGGAGACCAGCCTGAGCACAAGAATTTGAGGCTGCTGTGAGCTATGACGCCATAGCACTCTACCAAGGATGACAGAGTGAGACTCTGTCTCAAAAAAACAAACAAACAAACAAAAAAACCAAACACCACAACAATAGAAAAAAAGAGAAAAACAAGGGAGTTTAGTTATAAACAACTCTATTTTTCTTCTTTGTTTCATTATGTATGGCAGCACAAAGAACACAAGGTCGGACTTCTCTTATGCTCTGAACTACAGCTTTTCTAAGTCAGAAATTGGTTGACAAGTTCAGCTCAGAGCCAAAGCCTGCTGTACATTATAGCCACGACCAACCCGCATCCCTTCCACCTTTACCTCATATTGCTGCATCAACTGCACCATGGAGTCGCCCACAAATAGTACATCAGGCTCTTTGTCTTTACAGTCCAGGACAAATCTGTTGTGCTGATTTGAAAAAGAGAAAATATTAGAAACTGCATTTATTTCTCTGCTAGATTTCTTAGCCTAGAAAGAACTGTCCAACCATTTACTGTTGTTAAACATTCTTCTTTTTTTTTGAGATAAAATCTCACTCTGTTGCTCAGGCTAGAGTACAGTGGTGCAATCATCACTCACTGCAACCTCAAACTCATGGGTTCAAGTGATCTTCCTATCTCAGCCTTGCGAGTAGCTGGGCAAACATGCATGTACCATTATGATGCTCTGCTGAGTTTTCTAATTTTTTTTTTGTAGAGACAGGAGTCTTACTATATTGCTTAGGCTGGTCTCCAACTCGTGACCTGAAGCAATCCTCCCTCCTTGGCTTCAAAAGTGCTAGAATTATAGGTATGCACCAC